GAGTTTTGGCTTACGAGGCGTGCAGAACGACGACGAACACTCAACGATCCGCGTCGGTGATGTCAATCGCAACTGCGCGCCGAAGGAGGACGGCTGGATGGAGGGAGAGATCCGGGGTTTCGCAGAGTCTTTCCGGACACTTCGTCATTGTTTATCCGCAACAGCAATGGTGCGATATATAGGTATAGGGTGGGAAGGTGAGATATAGATGAGGGTGGATTTATTTGTTATTAAAAGCGATCAGAATGAGAGAGAGAGCGAGATGAGAGGAAGAGATAGGAGAGGAAGCAAGAGAGAGGTGGAGGAAGAGAAAGCAACGAGAGGGGAGGAGAAAGGACGACAGAGGGGAGAGAAAGGAAGAGAGGGAGAGGGGAGAAGCAAGAGAGAGGTGGGAAGAGAAAGCAAGAAAGAGGGGGGAGAAGAAAGGATGAGCCAGAAAGGGGGAGAAAAGGAAGAGAGGAGAGGGGAAAGCAAGAGAAGAGGTGGGGAAAGAGAAAGCCAAGAGAGGGGGAGAGAAAGGACGACAGAAGGGGGCGAGAAAGGAAGAGAGGGAGAGGGGGTGAGAAAGCAAGAGAGAGGGGAGGAGAGAAAGGACTACAAAAGGGGAGAGAAAGAAAGAGAGAGGGAGAGAAAGCAAGAGAGAGGTGGGAGAGAAAGCAAGAGTGAGGGTGGAGAGAAAGAATGACAGAAGGGGGAGAGAAAGGAAGAGAGAGAGAGAAGAGAAAGCAAGAGAGAGGGGAGGGAAGAGAAAGCAAGAAGAGAGATGAGGAGGAGGGAAAGTGGAGAGGGGAAAGAAAGTGGGAGAAGGGGAGAGAAAGTTTTACATATAAGAGGAGATTGAGGTAGACAGGGAGAGATCACAGTTAATGGCAATAGTTGATCGTTAGATTATTTCACAGGTTGTAAAGACAAAAAACAAAGCAGCTGTACCGCAGCCGAGCACCCCCCTTGACCATAAGAACATGAATGCATGGACACTGGCTTCCTCTCCGGCCATCCAGGAAGGGTGAGTGTTGTGGCTGCTGTGCGCAAATAATTAGGGCGCTATTTTGCCGGCGGCGCGCCGGTTCAACCTGCATGTAATCGATCCGTTTAAGTCCTATTCAAAATTGTGCCTATGCGTTTCTTTATATAATATCAACAATATTTACACAATTTCGCTGAATAGTTTTTACTATAGACTACTAAGAAGTAAATAATGGGTTCCAGCAATTCCTGTCAAATCAATGAGAACTCCCACTGTTTAAAGCAAAGAAAACTGAAACACTATGAATAGTATGGCTCAGTTTGCGAATAAACCAGAAGCTAATACTTTATTAATAATGGAATTGCATTGAAGCAAAATTAAGGGCCTGTTCAAACTTGTAATGGACCTGTTTCAATTTGTCTAAGGGCCGTTTAAAATTTGGGTGGGCGCCTGTTCACACTCTTTGACCTAATTTCACATAATTTCTAAATCCCAGAACGCTAAAAGAATTCTAAACGGCAATTTGTTTTGATAGCAACAAACTACTTTTTTTGAATTTACATACACTTTTTGCAATACTATTACTACTAATCGTGGAATGAAGCTTATATGTTAAAATTTCCAACTCACAGAAAATAGCAAATGGCTTATATTTCTACTCGCAATTCTCATTATCGACACGACTCAATTTTTTGCGAGTTAGCAATAGGGAAATTCGAGCCCTGCCCTGCGCTACTCCAGCAAGCGGTGACTGCAGTGAAGCCCCCACCACCCTCGCTCTACCTGCCCCCCTCCACGAAGATGGCCGGTGTGTGCACGGCAGATGCTTAGAGGAGGATTGCACGGCGAGTGTCGATAGTTTAACGTGACTCATTGCGTGAACGGCGTTGCCCGGTGGGAACGTGGTGGGAGGAGGGTGGGTGGGAGGAGGGTGGGGTGAGAGGAGGGTGGGTGGGAGGAGGGTGGCATGGGAGGAGGGTGGTGTGGGAGGAGGGTGGGGTGGGAGGAGGTGGCGCTGGGGGAACGTGGTGGGAGGAGGTGGCCTGGGCGAAACGTGTGGGAGGAGGGTGGTGTGGGAGAGGGTGGTGTGAGAGGAGGGTGGGGTGGAGTGGGTGCCGCGGTTGGGTTGGAGGAATGTGGAGGTCGATATAGGAGTGAGGAATTGGAGGATGGTGGGTGGAGGGGTGAATGGTGGGTGGAGGATGTGTGGGTGTAGATAAGTGGAGATGGTGGGTGGGGTGAGGTAAGAGGAGGATGGTGGGTGGTGAGTAAGAGGAAGGATGGTGGGTGGGTGGAGGGTAAGTGGAGGATGGTGGGTGGGTGGTGGAGGTAAGTGGAGATGGTGGGTGGGTGGGAGGTAAGTGGAGATGGTGGGTGTGGAGGTAAGGAGGAGGAGTGGTGGGTGGTGGAGGTAAGTGGAGGATTGGTGGGTGGGTGAGGTAAGTGGAGGGAATGGTGGGTGGATGGAGGTAAGCTGGAGGATGGGTGGGGTGGGTGGAGGTAAGTGGAAGGGTGGTGTGGGTGGAGGTAAGTGGAGGCATGGTGGTAGGTGGATGGTAAGTGAGGATGGGGGATGGGTGAGGTAAGTGCGAGGATGGTGTGGGTGGAGGTAAAGTGGAGGAATGGGGGTGGGTGGAGTAAGTGGAGGGTGGTGGTGGGTGAGGTAAGTGGAAAGGATGGTGGTGGGGAGTAAGTTGGAGGATGGTGGGTGGGTGGAGGATGGTGGGGTGGTGGAGGTAAGTGTAGGATGGTGGTGGTGGAGGTAAGTGGATGGATGGTGGGTGGGTGAGGATTGGTGGGTGGTGAGGTAAGTGGAGGATGGTGGGATGGAGTAGAGGTGGGTGTGGATGGTGGGTGGGTGGAGTAAGTGAGGAGATGGGTGGGTGTGGAGGGATGGTGGTGGTGAAGGTAAGTGTAGGATGGATGGCTGGTGGGGCAACGTGGAGGAGGTGGGTGGGATGGAGTAAATGAGGATGGTGGTGGAGGTAAGTGGAGGATGGTGGGTGGTGAGAAGTGGTGATGGTAGGTGGGTAAGAGGTGGGTGTGTATGGGGTGGGTGGAGTAAGTGAAGGCTGTGGGTGGGTGAGGTAAAGTGTAAGGGATGGGGGTGGGTGGAGGTAAGTGAGAGATGGTGGTGGGTGGAGATGGTGGTGGGTGGAGGTAGTGGAAGAGACTGGTGGTGGGTGAGAAGTAGGTGGGGATGGTGGGTGGGATGGAGGTAAAATGGAGATGGGGGTTGGGTGGAGGTAAGTGGAGGATGGTGGGTGGGTGGAGGTAAGTGGAGGATGGTGGGTGGGTGGAGAAAAGTAAGTGGAAGATGGTGGGTGGGTGGAGAGAATAAGTGGAGATGGTGGGTGGGTGGAGATAAGTGGAGGATGTGGTTGGAGTAAGTGGAGGATGGTGGGTGGTGGAGGTAAGTGGAGGATGGTGGGTGGGTGGGAGCGTAAAGTGGCGGAGGATGGTGGGTGGAAAAAATGGAGGTAAGTGAGGATGGTGGGTGGGTGGAGGTAAGTGGAGATGGTGGGTGGGTGGAGGTAGATGGAAGGATGGTGGGTGGGGTGGAGGTAAGTGGCAGGATGGTGGGGAGCGGCGGGGTGATGAGGTAAAGTGGAAGGATGGTGGTTGGAAGGTAAGTGGAGGATGGTGGGTGGAATGGTGAGTGGTGGAGGAATGGTGGTGGTGTGAGGTAATGTGGAGGATGGTGTGGGTGGAGGTATAGGTGAGATGGTGGGTGGGTGAGGTAAGTGAGGATGGTGGGTGGTGGAGGTAAGTGTAGGATGGTGGGTGGGTGAGGTAAGTGGAGGATGGTGGGTGGGTGGAAGGTAAGTGAGGATGGTGGTTGGAGGTAAGTGGAGGATGGTGCGGTGGGTGGAGGTAAGTGAGGATGGTGGGTGGAGGTAAAGTGAGGATGGTTGGTGGGTGGTAGGTAAGTGGAGGATGGTGGGTGGAGAGAGAGGATGGTGGGGTGGGGTGAAGGTAAGTGGAGGATTGTGGGTGGGTGAGTAAAGTGGAGGATGGTGGTGGGGTGGAGAGAAGTGGGAGATGGTGGGGGGTGGAGGTAAGTGGAGATGGTGGGTGGGTGAGAGTAAGTGGAGATTGGTGGTGGGTGGAGGTAAAGTGGGAGGAGTGGGTGTGGGTGGAGTAAGTGGAGGATGTGGGTGGGTGGAGGTAAGTGGAGATGGTGGGTGGTGGCAGGTAAGTGGAGAGATAATGGGTGGGTGGAGGTAAGGTGGAGGATGGTAGGGGTGGGTGAGCGGTAAGTGGAGGAGTAATGTGGAGGTAAGTTGGAGGATGGTGGGTGGTGGAGGTAAGTGGAAGGATGGTGGTAGGGTGGAGGTAAGTGGAGGATGGTGGGTGGTGGAGGTAAGTGGAGGATGGAGTGGGTGGGGTGAGATAAGCTGTAGGATGGTGGGTGGGTGGAGGTTCACAGTGTAGTGAATGGTGGTGGTGAAGGTTAAGTGTAGGATGGTGGGTGGGTGGAGTAGAGTGTAGGATGGTGGGTGGGTGGAGGTAAGATGGAAGAGAGGTGGGGTGGGTGGAGGTAAGTGGAGATAAATGGGTGGGTGGAGGTAAGTGGAGGATGGTGGGTGGGTGGAGGTAGTGGAGGATGGTGGTGGGTGAGGTAAGTGTAGATGGTGGGTGGGTGGAGGTAAGTGTAGGATGGTGGTGGGTGGAGGAAGTGGAGGATGGTGCGGTGGGTGGAGGTAATGAGGAATGTGGTGGGTGGAGGTAAGTGGTAGGATGGTGGGGGTGGATGGTAAGTGTAGGATGGTGGGTGGGTGGAGGTAAGTGGAGGAATGGTGGGTGGTGGACGGTAAGTGGAGGATAATGGGTGGGTGCGAGGTAAGTGAGGATGGGGGTGGCGTGGAGGTAAGTGGAGGATGGTGGGTGGGTGGAGGTATAGTGGAGGTGTGGGTGGGTGGAGGTAAGGGTGGAGGATGGTCGGTGGTGGAGTAAAGTGGGGAATGTTGGGTGGTGAAGTAAGGTGGAGGAATGGTGGGTGGGTGGAGGTAAGTGGAGATGGGGTGGGTGGAGGTAAAGTGGAGGATGGTGGGGGTGGGTGAGGTAAGTGTTGTGCGTGGCGTGCAGCTTGCTGTGTGTGCGGTGTGGTGTGTGTGGTGGTATCGGTACGGTGTGCCGTGCTGCATGCTTGCGTGTGTGTGTGTGTGTGTGATCTGTACGTGTGCGTGCTTGCATGCTTGCTGTGGCTGTGTGTGTGTGATGTGCATCGTACGTGTGGGCTGCTATCGCGCATTGCTTTGCGGTGCTGTTGTGTGTGTCTGTTGATGCGTACTGTCGTGCGTGCTTGCATTGCTGCGTGTGTGTGTGTGTGTGTGTGATCGTACGTGTTGTGCGTGGCTCTTTCCGTAATAATTGAATAATGCACAAGAGCAAGCGTTTGTGTAAGCGCGGCGTGTGCAGATCCGTGTTACACTTGCAACGGTGATTAGATTGCGCGCTGCATAACCTTTGTAGGAAAGTTCAGCGCAGATGCCGCGAAGTTATCATGAATAATTAATCATGAGTGAGTTCACATCCCTCGTCGAAAATTCCCCCCCCCCCCGCTCCTCAGCTGTCGGCATTAATGCGCGCTCGTTAATTATTCATTAGCGAGGAACAGTACTACTGCATTAAACCGTTGCCAGGCAGCTCTCAGCATCCGCTGGTTGCCATGGCGGCGGGTTGTCGGGGTTAGGGTTGGTTGCCGTGGTAGCAAGGAGATGGGAATACTGCGTGTAGCGCATTGATGGCACGACGACTGCATGCAATCGTAGCCAGTTCGTTTTTTTTTCGGGTACGATCCCTGCCGTGGGAATTGCTGGTGGCAGAGTAAAAGCAGAGTGTTCGGACTACGATGTATAGTACTGCGGGCTGAAGCGAATATTGTGGGTCAGATTCGGCCATTGTAGGTAATATGTGGTTAAAATACAGGTTCCAAGATAATGTATTCGCTGCTATCTAGCTACTAGTGATGGGAATCTGCTGGAATTTTATCATCTATTATAGTTCACAGAGTTTCTTCTGAGGGAAAATTAGACAAAGGAGGTAATGGTCAGTTTGGGGGAAAACGCGCATGATGGATTCTAATACAGTATGTATTGATATAGTATACTTATAGGTACATAGATACAGGATATATACTTGTCAGTAAATACAGGAAAATTTTCACAACGGCGATGTTAAATTTGACAACGGCGGTGCGCCACTGTGCCTCTTATGTATAACAAACCCTGGGTCTCACTCAACCGATCTATAATCTTTTGTAATAGTATATATATAATTGGTTAACCATCATAGGGCATTCGTGACCTTATTTATTCTGACCAAAAAGTAAGAGAGCTGGCCTATGTTTCTATAGTATCATTTCATAAGTGTATTTATATATGTCTTCTGCAACTTCAGAATAATACGATATATATATATATAATATGTTTATGACCCTAGTTTTATTAATGTATATTATTCATATTTTTGATCACTTAATTGTGATCACATTTTAAATGGCTCCATCATCTTAAAGATGGCACGAATGCTACTGTACTACCACAGCGTGCGAAATTAACGGGAGTCCGGAGTCAAATACTCCCTGATTTACTGACGGATTAAATGTGATTGTCAAGAAATTATTTAAAAGGATACTGTTAAAGTAAATAACACATTTAGCATTTTTGCAGGTAAATTCGCATAACTAAAGAAAAAAGGAGCTAGTAGTAGTGTTATGAAAGTTTGCAGTGTTGTTCTTACTTACTCCCACAGACTAACGAGAATACAGACATGGTATTTGTAAAATAATGACAAATTCCAGCAATAACTAGCGAATTTACAGGGAATAAATAACAAGATCGGTATTCGTTTATTCGGTGATTGAATCTGTGAATTCCGCTGCTCCGCAGAGAAGAAGAGGAAGGCGAAGGTGATATTCAGTTATTTGCCGGAGAATGCAGACGAGCTTCGATTGGACAACGGTGACGTCGTCACGATCCTCGACCAGGAGGAGGAGGGCTGGCTGAGGTAGGTGGCGCTGATGCTGGGCGGGCTGACATAGGTGGCGCTCACGCAGGGCTGACGTCTATATATGTACAATACTATATATATATACAATTAAATACTATATATCAAAAGAAGAAAACAAGTTTTCTTTCACCTCCTTCCTTTCCTGCAAGTCCCTCCTTATTTGCAGGATGATGTAATTCAGCATCCCTTGTTGATCATTGCAGGGGCCTTCTTCATGGAAAGGAAGGTGTCTTTCCCTCAAACTTTGTCGAGGAGATCTCAGACAGTGACGTTGAGGAGGTGACCGAGAAGAAGGACAAGGAGAAAGAGAAGACAGAAAATGAAACGGGTAAGCAAAAACATCTATGAGTGAGAGAGATAGAAGGAGAGAGAGAGAGAGAGAGAGAGAGAGAAAGACTGGGAGAGAGAGTGAAAGACATAGAGAGAAAGAAAGAGAGGGAGAGAGAGGTAGAGCCAGAGAGATAGATAGAGAGAGTGAGAGAGAGAGAGAGAGAGAGAGCGTGTTGTGCCCAAACTTGGAATCTTGCACAAACTTGGAATTTCAGCGCATTCGCAATTTGGGCAACCAATCTTGAGATTGGGCAAACAGAGGTAAACAGAGCTTGCACAAACATATGATTATTAGGATTTCAAATGTTATAATATCATAACTATATAATTATAAGGTCGTATACCTTCTTTCCTCAATGTGTTTGGCATCTTTGTATAAATATTAAATGATTATAATAAATAATTGGATAAATATGAGATAAATCTCTTCCTAGTTTGCACCACGCACACCACACACTCGCTATGAGCGGTTGTTAAATCACCGACTGTTTTCAGTTTGCCCAATCT